GTAAAACACTGAAAGCAAACCTTGATAACGAATGGCCACCTAGACAGTATGTAAGAGAGAGAAGCAAACCAGAACATTCTTTCTAAATTCAGAAGGTTGGAAAGAGTGTATTCAAACAGTGCTGTTTTCCTGTGTTAGTCTAAAAGTCTAAACACACATCATTTAACTAGATTCCAAAGTTCAGAGGTAAGATAGGTGAAAGATCCCTAATTTTAAAATCATTGTTTGTAGAAGCAAACCTTTGTCCTCAATCTGTAAACTATTACAATAAGTAATCTCTGAGTTTGTCAGGATGAACTCAATTGCTAAGCATAACCACAAAGACCTAATAAAATAAAAAACAAAATTAACAAATAAGTAACTTAAGTTCTCAGGYGTCCTCATTTGATCTTGTACATGCAAGTATTTGTTTCCTTACATATGTAAGGACAGGGGCTGCTTAGTGGTGGAGCATGTGCTTAATATGCATGAGGCCCTGGTTCACTCTGCAGCACTGAAACAACTACAAAGAAAGAGACAGGTGGGGGAAGAGGAGATATATATATGGGGCAAAGGGAAATTCCCCCTTTGTCTCTGAAGATTTGCCTCTTTTGAGTTGGCTGAAACAAATTGGCAATAGATTAACGGAAGAAAACCATATAAATTGATTGATGCATGCAAGTGTGCAGAAGCCACGTAAAATATGAAATTCAAAGCAGGGCCAGATGATGGAAGGTTGCATAGTGTCTTCATAGGGAAGAGGGAAGTCAGGGGGCTGTAGACAATTTTAAAGGGAATAGTAAATGATTTGTAGGGGAAATCAATGGGCCTGAAGAACAGACAATGGCCTGGGACAAAGTTCCTACAGGCTCTAGGTGTGGGTGCTCAATTTTTGTTCTCTTTCTTTATGATATGAATTCAATTTTCTTTGGTTAGCGAACTATCAGGAAGAAAGTTGAAAGTAATTGTATTTCTCTTTGTGGATTCTGTCTTTAGGTAGTATCTYTGACTGTTTATGTTACTATAATACCAGAGATTGAGTCATTTATAAAAGTCTAAAAATTTATAAAAATTTCTTTGACTCATGGTTCTGAAGGTTGGGAAGTCTAAGACCATTGTGCCAGCATCTGCCCAGCACCTGGTGAGAACCTTCTTACTGCAAAATAGTGTGGTGGGGACATGATATGATAAGACAGAGCAAGTTACTACCTAGCTTGGGTCTCTCTTCCTCTTTTTGTAAAGCTACTAATTCCATCAAGGACTTTTTGAGCTTGTACAATGGGCTGCCTCCAGATGCCATTAAACTATAAAGTTGGGTTTTGAGTTTCTAACACATGAACTTTGGGGAACACATTCAAACTATAGCATTCTGCCCCTGCCCCCCCCCATTTATGTCCTTGTCATATGCACAATACATTCATTCTATCCTAATAGCCCCAAAGTCTTAACTCATTCCAGTGCCAACTTGAAAGTCCAAAGTTTCATTTGAATCAAATATGGGTGAGACTCAAGGGCAAATTCTGGGGTAAATTCACTCCAGCTATGAGCCTTTGAAATCAAAACAAGTTATCTACTTCCCAAATGCAATGGAGGGCCAGCCCAGGACAGACATTCCCATTCAGAAGAAGAATAGAGGCAAGTAGAAAGGGATAACTAGTCACAAGTAAGTTCAAAACCAAACAGAGGGGCTGGGGAYGTATCTCAATTGGTAGAGTGCTTGCCTTGCATGCACAAGGCCATGGGTTCAATCCCCTGCACCATAAAAAACAAACAAACAACAATAACAAAAACAAACAGAAAACTTAAGTTTTAATGAAGAATAATTTCCTTTGAGTCTGTGTTCCACATTCTGTGCATATTGGCATAGGCCTCTGTAGCTTGGCACCTGTGGTTTTTGCTGGACTAGCCTACATTTTAGCTCTCTTGGGTTAGAATCTCCTGTGGACAGCTCTCCCATGTTGATATTGCATGTTGGTAGCTCTACAGTTCTGGGATCTCCAAAGTGATACTGCTCCCTTGCCTCCATTAAGCCCCTGAGGTGGCTTCGGGGTTTACTAAGCAGTGTCCTACTGGGGGTTTTCGGCAGTGACTCCACCTCTGCATCAGGACTCTACCTGGGCCCCCAGCTGACCTGGATAGAAGAAGCCATATCCCCCCAGCTTTTGATTTCTATGTACCTACAGACTTAACCCCACCAAATACCACAAGGCTTACCATTTGGATCTTGGCYGAGCAGCAGGTGGAGTCATACTTGGGCTGCTTGAGTCAGCTTGAGCAGAGGTTGGAGCAGCTCAGGAGTGCTGTCTGGAATGCAGGGAGCAGAATCCTGACAAAGTTCTGTGGGGAACCAAAATGGGGAGGGTACCCTGGGCCTTTCCTGCTGACCATTCAGCCCTTCTGGAGCTCTGGGCCTGTGGGGAGGGGAACTTCAAAGATTCCTGAGATGTCTTTAGGTTCTTTTTCCCATTGTCTTGATGACCCCTTCTCTATGCTAATCTCTTTGCTTGTTTGTTTTTGAGAGAGGGTCTCTCTGTGTTGTTCAGGCTGGCCTCAGACTCCTCAAGTAATCCTCTTGACCAGCCTCTTGGGTAGCTGGGATTATAGGCACATATCACCTGACCTGATGAAAATGCTCTGTCATTCTTTACCACACAGCCAGGCTGAAAATTTCCCAAATGTTTTCATTCTGTTTCCCTTTCAATTATAAATTCTGCCTTTGACTTCTCTCTTTGGTTTTATTTCACTGGAAGCAATTAAAAGCAGCCAGGCATGAACCTTTGCTGCTAAAAAATTTCTTTTGCCAGATATCCTAGTTCATTGCTCTTAAATTTTGACTTCCATAGACAAGGGGMTGGGGTTGTAGCTCAGTTGATAGAGCATTGCCTTGCATTTCTGAGGCACTGGATTTGATCCTCAGCACCTCATAAAAATAAATATAATGAAGGTATTGTGTCTGTCTACAACTAAAAAAATCAGGCCAAAGGAAGAAAAAAAATATATATATATGAGAAGGTCTTGCTAAATTGCCCAGGCTGACCTTGAATTTGCAAAGCTCTTGCCTCAGCCTCCTGGGATAACACACGTGTGCCACCATGCTCAGCTTCTAYTTTTGATTTCTACTTTAACTCCACTTGTATGATTCATATTCTTATAAACTTATTAATACTATACTGCATGGCTTAGTATATGATTTATCCTGAAGAATATTTCATGTATGGTTAAAAATAGGGTATTCTGCTGCTGTTAATGGGTATTAGCTTAAGTTGGTTGATAATTTTTCTTTTATATTTTACATATCCTTGCTGATTTTCTTTCTATTTGCCTCTATTAGTTTTTGAGAGTGAAGTATTAAAGTCTGCAAATATTATTGTTGAATTCTCTATTTCTATCTTCAATTCTGTCCATTTTAGTTTTGCATATTTTGARTTCAGTTGTTAAGTATTTATAAGTTTATAATTATCATTGATTCATAATGAATTGATCATAAAATATCTCTCCTGCCTTTTATATTACTTTATTCTGTTTGTATAAAATCCTAGAAAAATATAAAACTACAGGGACAGAAAGCAGATTCATGATTGCTCAGAATCACAGATGGAGAGAAGGAATTGCCTGCGAAGAGGAAGAAAGGAACATTTTTGAGATGATAAAAATGTTCCATATTGTAGTTATTACATTTGTTATATAATTATGTGTGCAATCATCAAAACTTAGATTATACAACTTAAATTTAGTCAGTTTTATTATGTATAAATTTGGTTTCAATAAAACTGAATTTTAAAATGTATGATGATAGCTATGACTAAGTTAAAAGTACCATGCTACTTAATTATTATTAGTGGTGATCATGACTTGAAAGGGAGGACTATCTCTCCTGAAAAGAGGCAGATATAATCAAATGGATCTCCTTCACATCAGATTTTTATGGGCTGAATGCTTTCATTTTAAAAACCTTTTTTATTGTTGATTTTTTTTAACCAAACACATCTTATATAAATTATCTGTGTTTGTTCCCTTTTCTTTATTCAGACATGAATTTACAACATAATTCAAGTCTACAGCTCAAATTAAATCTTTCTGCATTAGAAGACTATCAACTTTGGTGTTCTAATTCAGGAGAACATAGTAGTTACCAAAAAGACATTTATATTGCTTTTTAAATATATATGTGGTTGCCTTTACTGATGCTATATTTCTTCATGTGGATTTTAGTTATCATCTATGTCATCTTTTTAGGCTGATGTAGTTCTTTTAGAACAGATCTGCTAGTTGTGAATTCCTTCAGCTTTTGTTTATTTTGGAGTATGTTTTTGTCTCCTCCAACTTTAAAAAATTGTTTTGCTCTATATAGAATTCTTTTAGATATTTCCTGGGAATTTGCACATCTCTGAATATACATGTAGACTTCTAAATCTTCAGGAATATGCCAGAACTTTTTGAAGGTCCTGTGGACATTTCCTCCAGATAGTCCAGTCTTGCATTCTGTTTTTCTCAACTGGTATTGTAGCCTTAGGCAATGGCTGTGTTAGATAATGACAGAGAGATGACCTACAAATAGGGATTTTCCCATGGAGCAATTTCTAACTCATATTAAATAGCAACCTATGCCCTGCAAATGGGACTTTTTCAAGGAACTAAGAGATCTGCCTTAGAGCACTAGCCTTAGAGCTAAAAACAGTGCTCTGGAAATGTTTTGTTTTGTTTTGTTTTTGAGAAGTTTTGCAAAGAAGCTTCTTTTTCAAAAATACCATCTTGTTTGAAATTCCGTTTTTTCCATCTGAATGTATTATTTTGATAATAATTAAAAGACAAGTTAAACTAACTTTCACAAGTAATTTATTGTTCTTCCCTTAAATGTGTCACTTATACTATGTTAATCATTGAAAATAGACTGTATTTAGTGAGGGTGGCACAAAAGGGACAGCACTGTTTTATTTTAGAGAATCCATCCTTTTCAGCAATATAGGCAGGAAAATTCAGCAAAGGTAACTTATACAGATTTTAAAAGTTCCTCAATTACCATGGATAAAGAGAAGAAAATACAGCTTAAGAGAAATTTTGGATATTTCAGGGGCACAAGCTTTTTAATTATTAATATAATTGGTGCAGGGATTTTTGTGTCTCCTAAAGGGGTTTTGGAGTATACTTGCATGAACGTGGGCCTCTCCCTGTGTGTTTGGGCCATCTGTGCCGTGTTGTCCTTGACAGAATCTCTCTGCTTTGCAGAGATAGGAATAACCTTCCCATACAGTGGAGCTCACTATTATTTTCTCAAGAGATGCTTTGGCCCCTTGATCGCTTTCCTGACACTTTGGACAAGCTTGTTCGTGGGGCCAGCGGTAATTGCTACCCAAGCCCTGCTTCTTGCTGAGTACAGCATCCAACCTTTTTATCCCAGCTGCTTAACACCAAAACTACCAAAGAAATGTCTAGCCCTGGCCATGTTGTGGAGTGTGGGAATTCTGAATTCTCGAGGTGTGAGAGAAGCAGCCTGGCTTCAGATGGTAAGCACAATGCTGAAAGTGGCCATACTTGGCCTTATTTCCCTCAGTGGAGTGTTCATGCTGGTGAGAGGCAAGAAGGAGAATGTAGAAAGATTTCAGAATGCTTTTGATGGTGAGTTTCCAGACATCTCCCAGATAATAGAAGCCATCTTCCAAGGATATTTTGCATTTTCAGGCGGGGGAAACTTATCGTTCATAGCAGGTAATTACCAGTCTATTGAGAAAAAATAAAAAAAACTCAAGCCCTGACTTATTGTATACATTATGAAATGCACATCTTTTTTATTGTATTTTGAGCTTTATCTTAAATAAATGATTCAATATTTTTTCCGGTCAGCCTCATACTTGCCACTTACTTTTAATTTTTTTTTCCTTTGTATTCCAAAGTTCTTTATTGAACAACTTCTCTTTTTAACCTTTCTTTTCTAGGACCACAAATATGAGACTCCTTAATTAATATTTCTTTTTTTAACAACCATTTCATTCTTTTTCTCTTGATTCTCTTAATCTTTGTTGACTTTTGCTTCAAATGCTTGAGAGAAATTTTCTTATATATTGGAAATGATTGGCTTCCATTGGGTAGGATGTCACCTGTTTCTATTGCCAGTGATCAGGGCAGAGGGTCACATTGTGTAAACAAGTCTGGAGTTGTTGAGTTCATTGGGTTGGGGTACTTTTTAGAGAATGTCAAAATTGAGAAAAATGGTGTGACAAATTGAAAAGCATTTGAAAATAACAGTGTTCTAGAAAAACCATTACAATGATGCCAAAGCATGCCCCCTCCCCCCTGCCCCCCCCCCGCCTTTTGCACTTACTATTGGTATAAAGGAAAGGGAGAGAAAAATCTATGACTGATTCTTTAATTCTCTTTAAAATAAGCCTTGCAAATGTTTAAGAAGTCAATTTTGTTAACCAGGGATAGTTTCCTCTTTTCCTTTCCCAGAAGAAGTAGTAATTTTGCTGTGCTGTGTAGGGATCATCTAGGCAACTAGGAAAAGTAAGGTCATTCCACATAAGAGAATGGCCACATTGGCAAGCCAGGGCATGACATTTTTGAGGAATAAAAAAGTGCCATTCTGTGTATTTATAACAGAAATGGCAAATGGGACCATCAAATTGTCACATGATATATCCCACAACACTTTCTTTCCAGATGGTCAAATAGTCCTTATTTTAACTTTCGTTTATGTGATTGTTTAATGGTTAAATTTCATGGAATTTTTGATCACTATTTTATTCCTACTACTCTAACTCAGTGCCTGGTTCCTACTAGAAGAGAACGAAGATGTAGGTAGATCCCAAATGGTCCAGACACTATGGGCTCAAATTTCATTTTTGATTTTTGTATGTTCAAAAAACTATCATCTAAGGGAAATATTTGGGAAACTTTCCCTTTTTTTCACTTAGCTCTAAATTTGGAGTGGGATAGGTGTGTAGTGGCTTGCTTCTGTGTGTGTGTGTTTGTGTGTGTGTGCGTGTGTGTGTGTGTGTGTGTGTAGAGGAGGAAGAATCCTGCCTAATATTTGAAATGTGTAACAATTTTAAAGATAAATTTAAGAAATGATTTTTTTTTGCTAGATATGATTTTGCTCTTTCATGTTTTATAGGAGAGCTGAAGAAACCCAGCAAAACCATTCCCAAATGCATATTTACAGCAATACCTCTGGTGACTGTTTTGTTTTTACTGGTTAACATTTCCTACCTGACTGTTCTGACACCCAGAGAAATTCTCTCTTCAGGTTTGTACACAAACGGCTAAGGCAATAAATAAAGTGTTGCTCCTTTCAGCACATCTTAAGTATCACTTTACCAGTCAGTACTGCTATTTGTTCTTCATTATTCTATATATAGAGTACACTTGTAATTTTCTAATAACAGAGTTCTGAGGAGTGTGATTTGGCTTAGAAAGGAGATTCATGTTTAAAAGCATGACTATACATTTTCTGATAATGTGGAAAATGTTTGTGTAATTCTGATGTAAAATTCAAGAAATTAATTATTCCTTTCAAGATTGCTTTTTATCACAGTGACATTGTACAATCGGTGTTTATATCTACTAAAATTTTCAAAGCATTTGATTCTTGATATCTTTCTATGTGACAAGAAGAAATGATAAATTTAAAATGGGCGATACTAGCCATTAAAAGAGTAAATACTAATGATTAATTGATGCATATAATTAATATGTAAAATAATGGAGTTCATACTTAATAACTCTAACTCTAAAATTTATAGTGGTAAAAGACCCTGAAAATAGTGGAAATTTGGCTAAAAATTACCATTTTAAAGCTCACATTGTAGAATACAGTGTAAAAGAATAAGAAAATTTTAGAGAAATAAACAGATATTTAAAAATAGCAGATTTAAGGAATAAAAAAATARAAAGAAATTGAAATACAGGGAAAGTGGAAATCTAGCAATTTTCTCACACAAGCATTAAACCTTAATTTATCACCTTCTGAGATAAGCCTGTCACCCAGCACCTATAGGATTAATTCCTTTTCAAGCCTTGTAATGGTGGCAGCAATTTTGTAGGTGGCACAATAGTTGGGCTTGTGTGGAAAATTCATGAAGTGTTTTAACTATAATCACTTGTAATTTGGTTTATAATTCTTACTCTTTCAGGAATACAGATCTAAGACCATTTAAATTCTGAATTAGTATTTTTGAATTTAGATTTCTGCATAAGTTCAAATTTAGAAAATTAGAACTATGTATGAAAAATATCTATATAGGGATGGCCATCAATCACATCATTAAGTGTGGCAGCAAAAATTAAAGATCACAAAATATCCAATAAATCTGTAATAAACACATAATTTGGGGGAAAGTACATAAAAGACTATTCTGAAACTGTGGACTGGCAGTGCACATCTGCAACCCCAGCAACTCAGCAGGCTGAGCAGGAGGATTACTAGTTCGAGGCCAGCCTGGGCAATTTAGTGAAACCCTGACTTAAAAAGGGTCTGGGATATACCTCAGTGGTAGATCACTTTCCTAGCATGCATAAGATCCTGGGTTTGACTCCCAGTATTGCAAACAAAACAAAAAACCCATAAAAGATAATATTTTTGACGATGCTTAAAGGAACAATGTTTATAATGCAATACTGATAGAAAATATGATATTCTCACATAAAACAGAAAAAGATAGTTAACAATCATGATCAATTGGCATAGTACTGTGATTTTTTTCCTTTGTTTTTTTTTTACACTGAATTTAACAGATTTTCTTTAGTGCAGTGCGTAATTTGTATAATTAGTTAGAAAAGTTACCAACAAAAGAATTAGAAATTTTAAGGATTGGGGGCTGCATTTGTTTCAAACGGGTATATCAGAAAGATGTGAAGAATTTCTAAATGCAGAGGGATATCTCTGATACAATGTGGATTGGTTGTTACATTTCATTTGAGGAACACTGAAAAAACTATGCCAAGCAGTAATAAATATTAGATTCTATGGTTTATGTGGTAAAAGAACCAAAGCTGTTAATCACATGACATTTTTGTCTGTGTCAGTGTAGGAGAACTGACCTGTTTCTTCATCCATTGTTTTCTTAGAAGAAAGGAAATATTCTTTAGTGAGGAAAGAAGGGACACCATCTAGAACAAGGTGTATGGAAACGTGGGAGCGAGGAGGCCTGGTTCCATTTTCTTCAGCCCTAGGATTTCAGTGTTCTGGAAGCCCTGCTAACACATTCTGACAGGAGAGCTTACAGTAGTGTTGTTGGGGTTTTGATGACATATTTAAGACTAGAGAATATTGGTACAGGACAAGATTATCTTAACAGGAAATAAACTGTATGCAGACAGAGCTAAGAAGGTTTTCTTCTTCAGACATACCTTCTAGAAAGCTGGTCTCAAACACCCAGAGGTGGTTAAAAATTTAGAAATTCAAGTGGGAATATAAGAATTATTTGCAAATTGATACAATCATTTTTAGAGAGTGATTTTATAATATTTTTCTTACTTGACAGTGTCTATATCTTTGGATTCACAAGTCTCACTTCTAAGAATTTACTTTGAGGAGAATAATACGATTATTAAAATTTAAAGCATGACTTTTTATTAGCAAAAAACAAAACAAACAAACAAAAAACACCTGAAAATATCCTACAAATCCACCATTGTGGAATGGGTCCATAAATTAATTTATTGAGAATTCACCAACATAATTAGATCGATGTGAATGATGGATATAAGTTAGATGGATGTAAATATAATCAAGATACTTCGGGAAGTGAGCAAAAGCGAGACTAAGCATGCTCACACATAAGCACACACATACAAACATTCAGGCACACAAGTATAAACACACACACACACACCCCTCATAGATGCTTTTACAGTATAATTGTAGAAAATTTGTGGAATAGGATCCAAAGAGATGTTAACGTAGTTACATTTGGGGTGCATGAATAAGAAATTGTTGAGGAGAGGGACATTTATTTTTTAATTCATGAATTCAATGCTATTTTACTTTTTACAAAAGCATATATGATACAATTTTAAAAAGAAAAAATGGCACATGGAAAGGAGTAGAAAAGAGAAAAATCACTTGAGGGATAAAAATTATGTAGGAAGATTATGTATTATTTTTGCCAGCCACACTGGGAGAGCTGCACTGGATTCTCCTCCTATTATAACCTACTACATTTGTAGGTCACTCACTAGGAAATTGGAGAATTTACTTTTCATTACAAGAAAAAAATTTTTAAAAATGTATCTGAAAGTGTGTAGTTATGTGGAAGTCTGGACAAACAATTAACAATACTTTTTTTGAAATGATTAAGAACTGAAACTAGAGATATTTTAACCACTATTATAGAATAGTATCAAAGAGAAAATCAACATGACTCCTGAAGCTATTAAAAATGGGTTAAAAATAAAGATCTTGAGAACATAAGCATCGATGATATTTTAATTTTGTCACATTTGAAAAGTCTTTTTGTTATATAGACCAGTATACTGATGTCCTGGAGGTTCCCCTGGAAACCAGCCTACCTACACATCAAAGTGTAATCCCAGAGGGTACTACCCCCAGGGACATTAGGCCCTGTTGTACTTATTCCGCTGAAAAACTGAGAAGTTGTTTCTCTGTGATAGAATAATCTGTCCTAGTATATATCCATGTAGTACAAATTGAACTCAAGTGGATTTTCATCAACAATTTATGTTTATCTTCATTGGTGATTTTAATACCTATTGCCTCTTATTGAATTGGTATTATAAGGTCTCTTCACCTTTAAGCCAAAAAAAAAAAAAAAAGAAAGAAAGAAAGAAGGAAAATAAAAAGAATATTTTCTAAAGATTCATCTGTAGCATGTATAGCAGGGTTTCTCAATTTCAACTCCATTGACATTTTTGGACATATATTGTGTGTGTGTGTGTGTGTGTGTGTGTGTGGTGCTGGGGATCAAACCTAAGGCTTCATGCATGCTAGGCAAGTGCTGTGCTACTGAGCTACGTTTCCAGCCCGGACTATGCAATTCTTTATTGTATAGGGCTGTTCTGTGCATAGTGGGGTGTTTAGTAGCATCCTTGGCTTGTACCCAGTGGGTTTCAGTAGCAACTTTCTACCCCGCTAGTTGTGATAACCAAAAGTCTTCAGACATTTCCACATGACCTCTAGCTGAGAGTCACCTGCCTGTAATTTAGACAAATCCCAAAAGTCATACATGTTTTTATTCTTGTGCAATTTATTTTCTCTGTGTACTTGGTTCTTTTTTTCTGAGTATTTTATTACACACCGTGGTGTGGTAAGTCTCATTCCTGGGGCAACAGGGTTGTGCTGTGCTTTTTTTTCTCTGACTGTATCTATCAGCACTCTGCATATTTGTTTTAGAAAACAAGCATGCCTTCAATCATCTGTTCAATAAAACCAATTCATTTTACAAGTATTTATTGAAAACTCACTCTATGTCTGTTGGCGAGTGAAGTACTAGGTTTGTAGAAAAGATATGGAGGGACCTTGACCTCAAAAATTTCCTGGTCTTTTGGGGAAGACATGAACACCATAAGCACTTATGATAAATTGTGATGAGGCTAAAATGGACATATGCATATGACATTATAACAAAAACAAATTTCTATTCTCTTTAAATTTTTTGTTTTTAAATAAAATAATATTATTAAAAGGCTTATGCTTCATTTCTCTTTCTTAACACTTTTCCTTTCATGTATTTTGTTTCTCTGCAGATGCTGTGGCTATTACATGGACTGATCGAATGATCCCCCAATTAACATGGATTATTCCTTTTGCTATTTCTGCTTCATTATATAGCAACATTCTGGTTAATGTGCTTGACTCAACAAGAGTGACATATATTGCAGGCCAACAAGGCCAGCTGCCTTTGTTATTTAATACACTTAACATTCACTCCTCTCCACTAATGTCTGTACTACTAATTGTTGCTCTAGCATCCACTGTGATTGTCTTAACAAACCTAATTGAACTGATAAACAATCTTTATTTCATGATTTCTATATGGACCGTATTAACAATGATGGGAATACTAAAACTGAGATACCAGGAGCCGAATCTACATAGACCTTATAAGGTAAAAGTGGGTTTTCTAAATATTTTTTTTCTATGTGAAATAAAACATATTATGTATAACTGTATTTGAAGATTATAGTCAGGACACCTATGAGTAGATGTTTTACTACTCAGCAAATTGTGAAATACGTAAGGATAATCGGATCTTAATTTTTATTTTAAATTTTATTGGATAGGCTTTACTCAGTATAAAGACTGTAAGTTTCCATCTAATGGTTCATTAGAAAGATAATTCTCTGGGTGATGGGACAGATCATTATGTGTCTTTTGACCAGAGATTACTTGGTTTACTTATGTAGCTATTTATACAAACAAGTTTCTTCCACTTTTGGGGTCAAATTCAGCAAATGAGAAAGAGAAGAGGCAAAGTGAGATCACAAAGGATGACATCTACTGTTCTGAAACATCAGCTTATTTTGATCATTTAACTGATTTTGATCATTTAACTAATTTCATCATTTCAGCTTTGCTACTTTTAAACTTACTTTCAGTCTAGATGATGAAACATTTCACAGGAGAGGAGACAGTACTTTAACCATAGAAAAAGATATAAGCAAAAACTTAGCAGCATAAAGGATATGATGGGGAAAGATGTCCTAACAGATTAATACAATAGTTTTGGTTGGCTAGGTAGTATGAGCAAAGATTTGCTTGGATGATCACCTTTAATCCCTTCAATAATACAAAAGGTGGATACTAGCCAGGCTCAGTGATGCACACCTGTAAATCCAGCAGCTTGGAAGGCTGAGACAGGAGAATCACGAGTTCAAAGCCAGCCTCCGCAATTTAGCAAAGCCCTAAGCAACTTAGTGAGACTCTGTCTCGAAAAATAAAAGGGGCTGGAGATGTGGCTCAATGGTTAAGAGCCCCTGAGTTCAATCTCTGTTACCAAAACTGAACAAACAAACAAAAAAACCCCAAAAGGTGGATACTTCTGTTCCATTTTACAGACAAGGAAATGAGTTTAGAGGAACTAGGTCACTTACCAGAGCTCACCTAGCATGGAGCTAGTTCCTGTAAAGGTCCTGGTTCAAACCAAGATTTGAACTAGGCAGTCTCTTCAGAGTATTTAACAAAATAAAAGAAACTGTTCTGGGAGGAAGAAATGAATGTCCCAATCATCACAACTTTGATTGACTGACAGCCATCTTTCCAGTTCTCCCTTTACTTCTTCCATCCAGCCTCCACTTCAATGTTGTGTATTTGAATATTTGTTATTAAGAAGTGATTATATTGGAAACACCTTCCTAGGTTCTTTGGGTTGAGAAAGAAATTAAGACTTGGCACCTTCCTTTAGGCAGGTTGTAATCTCTTGAAACAATCAGGTGACACAAAAACCATAGTGTGCTAACTGTTCCATAGTGGCATCCAGAGGATCCTTCCTTGGGAGAGGATGTATGGATGTATGGTATGGATGTCCATGTTGCCCCTTGGAGGGGCTTCCCCAAGGTCTTCTATCCTTCTGGTTTCACACCCTGAATCTTTTCAGTCTATCCCTTCTTTGCTGTTTTCTGACCCACACTGTTAGACGAAATTAAAGAGAAGCTATGAATCAATTATGAATTTGTAATACGCCAAGAAACAGTATAACCATTAAGAGCTTGGACTCAAGTCCAATTCCTCACCATTTTGCTGTACTTTATCTTGTTATTTAGCCTCTGACCCTCAATTCCTTCATATCTAAAATGGGGATGCATAATACTTGCCTCCTAGAAATGTTGTATATGCTAATATGTTGTATATTGTAGCTTGCCAAGGCATGCTAACAATCCAGGGTCAGACATTAATGGTTATTATTTGACTTATGTTTGTGACAAAAGGAAGGCCAAGTACAAGGTTAAAATTTTCTTGTCTTCCCACATTAGTGCTTTTTCTTCCTTTCTCAATTATTTGACAACTAGTGTTGAGCTGTAGGATGATCGTTATCTTAGGGGTATTTTTGAAATTAGGAGGAGATTCTTCATTCATTAAAGCCCGAAATGAAGGACCCTCTCATTAAAGTGTTTCATAAATTGTGACTAGATGTGTTGTATTTTAAGGGTATAAATTCATCTCAAAAATGACTGATATTATCTCCCTAGAATGGGTAATATAGGATCTCTCTAATCCTAACACAAAGCAGGTGCCAAGGATGGATCTTTAAGATTTTTGGCTAAACAAACAAACAAACAAACAAACAAAAAACCAGGGAGAACTGTTTGAGTTAAGTTTTTGGTTTCTTTCTTAATATGCTGAGCTTATAAAGTCATAATTTTTTACTTACCAGTATTTACCAATGTAACAGAGAGTCTAAATGGTCTCTATGTTTTTGTTTTGAATTTTTTACTAACTTGAAGTATTTTCCAGGGAAGATGGTTGTGACTTTCCCTTGGCCCTAGAAACTCCTTCTGAACAAATTCATGCCATCTAGATCAACAGATGGCTATTTTACCAGCACATGGTCATAATTATTTCCAGGCCCGAACAATCAAAGGCTACATGTCCATTCCCTCCAACCTAACCTTGCAGATTAGAGTCTTAATCATTTCCTCTTATTCAGACATTGATCAAAAGTTCTAAGCCTGCTTTATCTAACTCAATAGCCAATTTAGCCTATTTTCTATCATTAATTTATGCCTCATTTTTTGTTTACATAAATATGTATGTGTCACACATGAATATTCATATCTAATTATTATTCTTTAAATTTTTGCTCTTTTCAGGTGTTTTTGCCATTTACATTCATAACAATGGCCATCAGCCTGGGCATGGTTTTGATACCATTGGTAAAGTCTCCCAAGATGCATTATATCTATGTCTTTTTGTTTCTTCTCAGTGGATTGCTGTTTTACATACCTTTAGTATATTTTAAATTGAAGTTGGTTTGGTTTGAGAAGATGACTTGCTATTTACAATTACTATTTAATGTTTGCATTCCTGATGTATCTGATGAAGAGACAGAAGTAGATACTTAAAAAAATTAGCCTTCTGGGCTGGAGTTGTAGTTCAGTGGTACAAAGCTTGCCTAGCATGTGTGAGGCACTGGGTTTGATTCTCGGCACCACCTATAAATAAACAAACAAACAAACAAACAAACAAATAAATAAATAAAAGGTTTATCAACAACTAAAAATATATTTAAAAAAAAAACAGCCTTCCAAAAAAAAAAAATAGCCTTCCAAAAAATACAAAACAGACTATGGGATATTAACAGTGAAATTCCCATGACAACTTTTTCAAATGAAATAATATGTGTAAAAGACAGTACCTGACTTTAAATTCATAGAGAAATAATTATGCATCACTAAAGCTCTGTTTTGTTTGGTAATAAACTTAAATCAGTTAGTATAGTTTGATTTATTGATGCTATCGCATTTTCTCATTTTTCTTTTCTGTATTGCATCCCTTTGCTACTGAATTTGCACTGCTCTAATTGTAAAAGTTGATGATTAAAAATAAAAAAAAGCATTCTCTTCATCTTAAGTCTTTTTTTGGGGGTGGTGGTGGTGGTGCTGATTTGAAGCTCTAGAGAATGATTCCATTTGTTCTGTTAGCTTTTCCCCTCTAATGGTATATATTTTTAACCTAATTGTTATTTTAGAAGCATAAGTTTTTAACTGATCTTCATTTGGTTGCCTTTCTTTAAATTCAGAGGTGCCTTAGAAGAACAATCTTACCATGTCTTTACTGTACTAAAATTTGACCCATTTACAATCTGTGTTTATTGTATGTATAAAAATTGTGTGAAAGGGGTGGGTAGTGTTCCAGTAGACACCCTCATCTGGTAGCATTCAATTTTTTAAAATTTCTCTACTTAGTATAGAGTTTTAAAGGATCTGGGTTAAGAGATGTCCTTTTTGTTAAGGTAGCTGATGCAAATATCCACCAGAGACACAAGCTCTGAGTTCAAGCAAAGGTTTGACAGAGGCTGTCCTTCTTCAAGGCGCAGAATGGAAGCTTAAATATCTTTTGGAAAAGCAACAAAAGCAAGCTGGAAATGACCTTAGGTACAGCAAGCTAGAATTGACTTTGGGTGCAGGTGGTTGGGTAACAACAGATTTTGAATTTAGGGATCTTGGAGTGGGGGGAGGGTATGGGAACAGGGTWTCTTAAGTTTCTATTTCTTGGCAGTTTATGTTTTGGTTTCTGGTCAAGATAAGAGTCCCAGAACCAAAATGGAGTTACTAATGTCTTGGGACCTAACACTTTCAGAAAGAAGAGAGGCAATATCAGAAGACATTGAGCAACCTTTGTTAGGCAGCTCTGTTGCTCATCTTTTTGGGCCTCAAAGGTGGCATCCACAATGCCTCTTGTCAAGTGTAAGAAGTCATCCTCTAATGTGATAGTTAATCATTTCCTCTTCCTCCTCCTCCACCTCCAGTACTTCCTCCTCCTCCTCYTCCTTCTCCTTCCTCTTTTCTTTCCCCTTTCTATTCTCCTCTTCCTTCTCTTTTCTTTTTTTAAATTTTATTTTTTTGTTTTGAGATGGGTTCTTGTTATTTTGCCCAGGCTGGCCTCAAACTCCTGAGCTCAAATTGTCCTTCTGCCTCAGCTTTCCCAAGTACTTGGGACTACAGGAGAGTGCCCCCATGCCTGGATGGGCAAGGAACAAGAGCAAGCTGGAAATTATCGATGGCTAATTTTATGTGTCAACTGCACTGAGTCATACTGATCAGACGTTTGGTCAAACATTATTCTGGATATTTCTACAAAGATGGTTTTTGAATGAGGTTAGCAAATTAAGTAAGAGGACTTTGAATAAACCAGAATGAGGTGTGGATGGGCCTCATTCAGTCAATTGAAGCTCATAATAGAACAAAGRTGGACTCTCCACCCCACATCCACCAGCAGGAGGAAATTCTCAGCAGCTGGTCTTTGACTTTGAACTACAATACTTGTTCTCCAGCCAGCCAGCCCACACCACAACCTCAATAATCCCGTAGCTATTTCTTTGAATTACTGATGCCCCCTTCTCCGTGTACACATGCGTTGGTTGGTTCTGTTTCTCTGGAGAACCCTGACTAATAAAATTAACTTAGCTTTCTGTCAATTTAGACTTCCTGTTGCTGCTTTCTAACAACAAATCTTCTCAGTTATAGACACTCCTTCCTTCCTCTTTTTTTTTGGTACTGTGGATTGAACATAGGGTGCTTAACCACTGAGGCACATCCCCTGCTCTTTTTTGTATTTTATTTAGAGACAGGGTCTCACCAAGTTGCTTATGGCCCCACTAAATTGTGAAGGCTGGCTTTKAATTAGCGACCCTCCTGCCTCAGCCTCCCAAGCAGCTGGAATTACAGGTGTGTACCACTGCACCCAGCTTCCTTCCCCTTTTGGCATATATGTTGCTAAACATTCAAGTTTAGCCAACATATTCAAGTTAGCAGGATAGATACATCTATGTATACCATATTACTTATTCATTTCCTAAGATAGTTGCCCTTGTGGGCAATATGGTTCAACTTTCTCTACATAGGAAACCTGTGCCATATCTATACAACAGCTTAACTTTCCTCTTCCTGTGAACTTTCAACGTAGTGTGTGGCAAAAAAAATGCTTCTTAAATTTAGTTCCATAGAAGCCATTCATATTTAGTAGATTCAGGATCACAACTTCAGATTCTGAGGACCTGAAAATGTTTAAATTATAAGTGAGAAGAAATACATATTTGATTAATGTCAGAATTAAAAGAAAGCTTTAATGCCATCACCCCCTGCAAAATAGCTCACACTCCTATACCTGCATATTTTTAGGGGTAAGGGAATCAATACTGGGTAAAGATGCTGGTCCCAATGGAGCCAGAATTAGATAGGCAATCAGTATAGATAGGTAAATTCAGTCAGTTTGGATCAAGGAGGCCAATTTTGAGTGAGCCCTGGAAGTTGGAGACTGCCCCCTGAGGGATTGAAATGTTGATTGCCTCAGAGCCCTTTCTCCAAAGAACCTGCCCCTGCTCCAACCTGTTGCTAAGGTAACCTGTCCCAGGAATTATCCCTCTCTACAGGGAGCTATACGGTTGTTAATGTGTTCTGGGCTGCACCATCCTGCCCTTCCGCCTTCAGCCCACCTGTTTCCCACCTTTTGGCCACACCACTGAGCAGGAAGGAGAAAGATAAGGGGAAGAGAGCAGGAGAATAAAAGAAGCCTAGGACATAAAAAGGGCAGAACACCTTGCTTCTTGGGATACCAGGATACCAGCTCTGGTGCCCCTCTCCCTTGTGAGAGAAGTCTATGTTTCCCCTTTTAAAATAAACCCTGCTTTATATGATTGCCTCKGCGTGCTTCTCTAACAAACTTCAACAAGAGGGGAAGCAGGACTCACCAATAACCGGTGYTATCATCATCTTTGGACAGATGTGCATTTCTAAACCTTTACCTAACATGATCTCCATGTAATGTCTTTCTACTGGGTAAGTCTAATACTCTGTCACATTATATCCTTTCAGAATTTAATGACAACCATATCATGGCTCTCAGTCTCCTCCAGATTAAGCCCCCCCCCCAATATTCGATCTTAATTTTTATTCTGTAAGCAATGCAGTCTCTCTAGATATGGTCTGACTATGGCCGGGTAAAGCAGAACTATCACTTCCTTTGTTCTAAATATTTTACTTTTGTTATGCCTCCTACATCTTTCATATAAATTATGGCTGAGACACACCTATTCTAAATCTGAGTCAGATACCACCTAGGCAAGTGTGACAGGTCAATAACATTTCCCAGGGAAACTTTCAGTAGCTAGTTCACAAGAAATTGGTTAATAGTAGCAAAAGAAATGTTATTTTATTTTGCAGCACTGGGAATTGAATCCCCAGAGCTCATGCATGCTGGGCAAGTACTCTACCATTCAGACTTGAGACCTTTTCAAAATTTTTGTTTTTGAAACAGGGGCTCCCTAAATTGCCCAGGCTAGCTTCAGACTTAGACTTGTTATTCTCCCATCTCAGCCTCTGGAGTAGCTAGRGTTATAGGTGTGTCACTGTGCCCAGCTCTAGAGGCGCTTTAGTGTGCGAGTGAGACTCATTGTTTACCCTTGTCTTCCTTGCTAAGAGAAGTTATTTTTATATGTGTAAAAGGCAAAATTATTCCACCTACTTGGGAAGCCAAAGGCAGAAGGGTTGTAAGTTTGAGTCCAGCCTGGGCAATTTAACAAGACTTTGTCTCAAAAAAGAAAAAAAATCATATTCAGCTTCAAGGAATGAATCACAAATAATCTTAGCCAATCATTAAATCCCATCCCTTCTGCCCTGTGCTTTGGTACACACACGTGACCCAATTTTTGCCAATGAAATGGCAAGGAAAGTTGTGTAGCTTTGTGTTGCTGTGACAGAATACCTGAGATAAACAACTTAAAAGGAGGAAAAGTTTATTTTGATACATAGTTTCAGTTCATGATCACTTGGCCTGGTTACTTGAAGGCCTAAGGTGAGGCAGAATATCAAGGGAGAAGCCCACAGTGACAGAAGAAAGCTGCTCTCCTCATGGTGGCCAAGAAGCAAAGCTGGTGGAGGCATGTGGAGTGGGTGTGTGGGCATGCATGCAATATTCCCTTCAAGGGCATTCACCTGATAACCTAACTTCCTCTCACCTTCTAAAGGTTCCAAACCTCCCAATAGCACCATTATCTGAAGACCAACCCTTCAACACTCYAGGCTTGGGTGGATATTTAAGATCCAATCCGAAGCTAAAGTCTAGTAGAGTTTATAAAATTATCTCCTTCCTGATTGAAAGAAACCAGAAAAAGTTCTCCATCCGTTCCTTTCTTAGTGTGGAAGTATGACGCTTAAATCTGTGCTGACTGTTCTGTGACCCTGAAACCAGTTAGGGGAACCAGGGTGAAACAGAGCTTCTGCAGTCCTGGAACTGCTGCTTCCAGATTTCTTATTCTGTGGCTTAATTGAACATGTTGTGACTTAAGACACTTTTACCTAACTTTTCTCCTTCAAACCAAAAATGGTTTAACCAGCAAAAAAAA